GTGCTTCGAGTTCAGCCCAGGCCTACGTGGGCTTCGACGAGGAACCATGCTGTCGTGACGCCAAAGGGCCTGTTCTAACCACTAGATCACGCAGCCTCCCCTCTGCCCCCTCCTTACTGGCTAGCATTGCTTCCATTTGGAACCAATCACGCAGGGGCAGGAGAGTTCTCCTCCGAAAATAAAGATGAGCCCCCGTTCGATACCTGGGTGACTCACTTCATTTCCCCCGGGGCTATTTTTTTTAAATGTTGGGCCACGATGAATAAATGCGGGGGACGGGCAGGCACGGTGGGATCCCACGCGTGACAGTGGTTAGACTTGCTAATTCCTATCCAGATGGGGGTGGGGAAGGCAGTGTTCGTAAGCCAGCAAGGGAGGGGGAAGGGAGCAGACCCCTGTTATAAAGAAGCCCGGCCTGGCTGTGGTTCTGGGAGGCAAACGCTGGGGACTGCTAGGCTCGTGCTGCTGAGAGCTAGGGTGGGCTCTGGTTTTTTTAATCTTGCACTGAAATCCAGGTTCTGGTTGTACTCCCATCCCCGAGAGCCGCTCTCTCTGGAATGGACCCCGGCTGTTAGCAAGGATCTGGCCGTTAGCAAGCAAACGGGTCCAGTTTGGGGGAATCGCCACGTAGCATGAAGGCTGCTATTTGTGTGATTATTTCTAGTGACCTGAAGTGAGATCAGGGCTCCCTGGGGCTGGGGGCTGTGTGGACCGGTATCCGGACAGTCCCTGCCCCAAAGAGCTTACAATCTAAGTAGACAAGACAAAGGAAGGAACTAACGACCCCCATTTTACAGGTAGGGAAACTGAGGCATGGAGCTATTTCAGTGTCTTGCCCAGGGTCCTCCAGCTCTCCTGAGTCCCGGTGCAATGCGTTAGCCAGGAGACCAGCCTTTCCCTGTAATTGATCCACCCCAGATGTACCTAATTGAATGGCTTGTATGGGTCCAATCCTGACAAGTGCCGATCGCCTCCTGGGATGTGCCGAGCATTCTCAGTCGCTGATTTCAGGATTGGGACCCACAGCTGCTGCGAATCCGTGGCTGGGCCTAGGGACATCGGGGTGGCTTTGCAAGTGAACTAAGCAGGAGGCCGGAGGAAGCAGGCTGTCGCCTTAGGACAGCAGTCCCAGATGTGGGGCTGGGTAAGAAGCCTGCGAGGTCAACATGACTCTGCCCAGAGCTGGGCGCAGGTGAGGAGTGCTGCAGGGTTGTTCCAGTGCCCCAGCATCCGGAGGGAACTGCCCAGGCGTAGCACAGGGAAGTTGACCCAAATAGTTTGGGCCATTCACAAAAACAACCGGAGAAGGAGGTGATACAGCCACCGCCCTACACACCCTCATGGCCCTTAGCCCGGTGCTTCGGGCAATCACCGGAGATTTAGGGAACCCAAGGCCCTGCTCTGGAACAGCTCGAAACAGACGTCTTCAATTCACTGAAAACTCAAAAAACCCTCAGTCGGTTCAACCTGAAGTGAGGTTTGTTTGTTTTTTTCAAAACTTTGGCTTGGATCCAAAAAAAAGTAGCCATTAGCCTAGCTGTGTATTAGTGCTTTGAGATCTGTGATTAAAGGGGCAAGGCATGGCTGGGGTGTTCTCTGCTTCTCTGGGAACACCTATAGCTCAGGGCCACAGCCACGTGAGGCACGTGAAAATGAACGTCCTGCTTTCAGAGATGGAGAAACTGAGGCCCAAGATTTGCAAAGCTGTTTAGGTACTGAAGTGACTTGCCTGAGGCCAGGGAGGCAGTCGGTGTCAGAGAGCTCTGACTCCGTCCCGTGCTCAGACCACGGGACTCGGCCTCTCCTGGGTCTAATCATTAGATTCTAAAGCACCTAACTTCCAAGAGGGGACAAAGGCTGGAATGTCTTGACTCTCCAAACGCTTGCCAGGGCCGTGGTGCGCTGGGGCTGAGAGCAGGGCCGCCCGGAGGGGTAAGGGGGGAAGTGGGGCAATTTGCCCCAGGCCCGGGGCCCCCACGAGAATATAGTATTCTATAGTATTGCAAATTTTTTTATGGAAGGGGCCCCCAAAATTGCTTTGCCCCAGGCCCCCTGAATCCTCTGGGCAGCCCTGGCTGAGAGGCAGTGTCAGCTCAGAGGCCCTGGTACTGTATTGCCCTTGGGGGATGCTGGCCAGGCTCCCAAGAAGGCCCCTGCCCAAGTGCGCTCAGGTCAGAACCGAAGGGGAGGGGGCTGGGGACTGGTCTGTGTCTGTGAAGGCTTCGCTTAGTAGTTCTGAGGTGCCCTTCAACCTTGAGGCCTCACGGCTCCGTGCCCCGTCCTCCAAGCGGGCTAGTTACCCGGCTGCTTGCTGGGACCTGACATCTGGCGTCCTTTTGGCAGGAGAGTGCAAACAGCTGGAGCCCTGTGAGAAATGCATTGAAGGAGACGCTTCCCGGAACATCACCGGCTGCGTGTGGACGCGCTGCGGAGCCGCGGAGGAGCCAGGTATTGCTCGGGGAGCCTCTCTAGTTCTCCTGCATTAACCCTTTGCAGCCTGGCCCCATGGGTCCTGCCTGCCAGGAGGTACCAAGCTGTATTCAAACATCACCACCATCAGCAGCGATCTTAAAACTGTATCCCAAGCCCTCCGTGTGGGGCGAATCAATGGCATGGTTCTCAGACCCTCCCTGGGCCCCGTGACCTGGGAAACGGCTGGAAACAGGTCCTTGGATTGTTCTGATGGTGGCCTGGAAAGTAGCAGTGTCCTAAATGTTCGTGGGCCCCGTTCCTTTTGAGCTAGAGTCTACGCACCCCCAGCCGGGGTGTTTTCTGAGCCCTTGTGAAAACCCGTCTGTGAGCGTCACACTGGGCGCTTGGAAAGCCTGACCCGCTCTGCATGCGTAAATGGTGCTGAGCCCCGGCTGTGGGCACTTTTACGCTAGTCAGGCCCCAGGCGCGCTCTCCCAACACCAGCGTCCACGATGGGTCAGACGCTGCGCCCACCGCCATGGTTCCGCTGTCAATGGGTTCAGGATAGAGTTCCCGGCTGCCTTTCCCGGCGGGGGTCTGTTGGGGCTGGTTTATCCCTGGGCCGGACAGGGCGTTGTGGTTGTATTGGGCTCTGCTAACTGGGCGGGGGGTTAGGTTGAGCTGCGCCCCTGGCTGCTTCCTCTCATGCTGGCAGGTCAGTGGGGAGTTTGTTGCCCTTTGGCAGCTGAATTCCAAGCTTTCTAAGTGACTCGGTGACGGAAGGTTTCTTCACTGCCCACCTAGTCGCGTCCTGCTTCCCTGTGGAGACTATCTCCGAGCAATGTCCCTGTCTCTGGATGCTGGTCTCGGTGAGGGATTCTGGGGACCCCCCCCCATCCACCCACACCCCACCCTGGCTCAGCTCTCTAGCGGAGGTGACCACCCCGGTGTAGGCAGAGTTCTCCTCCTTGCGGGATAGACAGAGGGCATGGAGGGGCCCTGGCTGGTTCTATGAGCTGAGGCCTGGTTTCCCTGACTGCTAGTCTGGCCGTCTCTTCCCATGCAGCGCCCTGCTCGAAAGCTAAACTGAGATCAGGCTAGGGTGACCAGATGTCCCCATTTTATAGGGACAGTCCTGATTTTTGGGTCTTTTTCTTATATAGGCTCCTATTACCCCCACACACACACACACACCCCGTCCTGATTTTTCACACTTGCTGTCTGGTCATCCTAGGTCAGGCCCAGCAGCCAACTGCGAAAACCTCTGTGGTACAGTGAGGAGCCCGCCCAGAGGGAGTTGCTAAACGCAGTGGAGAGGCAACAGCTGGCCTGCTGTGCTCTGATTAAGATGGGGGACAAGTGTCTTAGGGGGGGCCCCTCCCCAGTCACATCACACACACACACAAAATTACCCAGCATCCCACACACATTACACCTGCCAAAAATCCCATTCTCCTCCCACCCTGTCCTGCGCCATCGCCTCCCACGGCTCCGTGAATCACGCTCCCTGGTACCGAGTGCCACCCGCCTCCAGCTGCTTCTGCCAGCGGGTGCAGCCTGCTCCCCCCGCTCCCCCACCTTAAAGGTCTCTGGCTTTAGGCTTCACACCTCCAGCCCCACCACCGGCCGACAGCAGCACCGCCACCTGGTGTCCAGTGCAGGGCTGGCAGGTTGCTAGCTCAGTCAGCCGTGGCTGGCGGTGCTTAATTTGTAAAGACAGAAGTGCCGGGGTTCAAGCAGTAACGCTGGCATCCTCTGCACAGCATGGCCTTGCATGCCACCGACAGACGAGATGCTGGGGCAGAGCCCTGCCAACCCCAGGCACAAATTAAGCTCTGGTGGCCGGGCAGCCCAGTTCCCCCAATGAGCAAAGAACAAACTCCGCTCCCTGCTTTGTTGTCTACCCCATCCCACCCGACGCACACCGTGGCCAGCAGAGTCACTTTCCGCTCCGGCTGTCCCATTGCTCTGACTGGGGCACCGAGGGGATCAGGCCCAGCTGGGCAAGGGGAGGTGGATTGTCCCTTTCAGAGCCGAGCGAGGAAAAGTGACAGACCGGTGACTGCGTGAGGGTTTTTCTCACACGTCCGTGTAATTCATTTTCTCGCTTCTGTCCCGCTACACAGTGTGGCGTGAGCTCTCTAAGCTGGAGGCTTTGCAAAGTCCCTGCTCTGTGACCCATGGAAGGCACTAGGTCTTTGCTGGAGGGGGGGAGAACTGTCTTTCACATCTCACCCTGGTGCTTTAAAGCCCAAGGCCCAGCCAGCCCTGAACAGAACAGCACCCGGCATCTTTGTTTTCTGGGTGGGTGTTGAGTTTCCGAGTCCTGTTGCTTTGGGAGGGGCTCTGGCTGCTTCTGCTGCTACCTTCAATAACAACTGATGTCATCGGGGTGGGGGGGGGAGAAGCAGAGATAATGGAATTGAAAATCCTCCACTTCCCAAAGGGTGGGGCAGAGAACAGAGACAGAAGAGCATGTGGCAAGAGTAAGCCGACCCCACTGGCCCAAGCACATGGACCTGTAGAAAACCCAATAGCTTAATAATACCTGCCACCTTGTTTAAACTCTTTTGGGAAGGCCTGGCTTGTTCAGTGACTTTAACTAGAGTAACCCGAGTCCATCTATTTGGAGATCACGTCACCTGCTGGTAACATGCAGCCACCTCTGGGGTGAGATGCATCCGATTCTGCTCTGCTTGCAATTCAGCCATGACCTCTTGCTCCAGAAGTGGCATCCGAATGGCTTGTCTGCGTGGCCGACATGCCGGTAGGCTGCCTCTCACTCTCCAGGAATGGGTTTCTGATGCGCCGCGCTTTCTGATAGCCTGTTTGTCCAGCTATCCTCATCCAGCCGCCATGTGCCGGGGTGGGCTCCTGCCAGGTTACTGGGGTCTGCAGTGAAGCTATGTAAGCGTCCAAAGGGGATGGAGCTAATGCAATTGAGCTGAAACAAGGGTTGTGATTTGAGTTCCAATCGATCTCAAATAGGCTGGAATTTGTGGTTAGGTGTTTAATGCTGGAGAGAGCCACTTACAGGGACAAAACAAAGGGAGATGTGATCCCCTTGCTGTTCCTCCACCCTCCGGGAACTGAAATATCCCCAAGGGTGAGAGCCAGTCTCTGTCTCAGCCCACGATGGGGCTCTCCGGACTTACAGCTCCTGGGGGAATTGGCAGTACAAACCGTGAACCCTAGTGGAAGCTGCATGGATCCGATGGGGGGGAGAGGTTTGTCGGTCGTCCAAGCAACGCTGCCCAGGAAGGCGTCCCAGCAGGAGATCGTGTTCCAAGCGCGACGCCGTCCGCACAAGCTCTGGGCGTGATGCTGGGCAGGGCAGGGCCCTGGGGGAGCAGAAGCTACACAGCTGATGCCAAGTTGGAACGTGCCAGACTCAAAGCCCAGATGCTCATTTGGGCAGGTGCGGACTGAGTCCTTGGGCGCTGCTTCCCCAGCTCTCGGGTGCGGCTTACCAGGCTGACCATGTGGTCTCGCTCACTGTCTCCCCACGCCAGCCAGGAGTCACCCACTCAGAGCCCCCTTCGTGGGGGGAATGGCAGGGTTTTCTAGGGGGCAGGTTTGCTCAGGGGAGTTTTGTGAAAGGTTTTTCCGGCTGGTTTTTCCTGTTTCCTTCAGGGCCCGGGGGCTGCATTGGGAAGGGAGAAGCCACCAAGGAGATGTGCTCCATCTACAATGTCACTGCTACATGCCCAGGTAACTTCCCGGGGTGAAGGCAGCAGCATGAGCTATGGGTGGAGCACAGCACTGGGCCTCGGGAGACCTGCATTCTACCCCTGACTCGGATGCTGATTTATTTTCCCATCTGTAAAATGGGGATAATATTCCCCCTTCTTTGCAAGGCGCTGTGCGAGCCAATGGTCTCAATGTAAGCGCTAGGTGATATTTATTTATTTATTTATCTGCTTTTGGGTAAGAGAATCCACACTCCATTGCAGGAGCAACAGCTGTGAACCCAGTCCCAGCCTCTCCCAGCAGGGGGCGCTGTGGGGAATGGGATAGGAGCAGTGGCTGTGGGGGAGCTCACACCTATTCCAGTCCCAGCCTCTCCCAACAGGGGGCGCTGTGGGGAATGGGGCAGGAGCAGTGGCTGTGGGGGAGCTCACACCTATTCCAGTCCCAGCCTCTCCCAACAGGGGGCGCTGTGGGGAATGGGGCAGGAGCAGTGGCTGTGGGGGAGCTCACATAGGGTTACCATATTTTGTGCAT